GTTTTACCCACACATTATCGGTGCAATTGATGGTAAAAATCAAGCTTTGATTTCGGGGCGAAGTTCTGAAGCCAGAATTTTCAGCTCGTGCGACTCGAAATAGTATACTCCTATGTTTTGTGTGATTGTGTGAGTATTTCCTAACTAACTGATGCACCTAGTCATATAGTCATTTACTAAATTGATTTAATTTTACAGGAGGGGCTGTTAATTAAATTAATAAATTGATCTATTGCGTGACTATTGCAAAGGATATCGACCAATGTCGGTGGCTATGGCTATATTCTTCAAGACAATTCAAGCAAGTTCGGGCTGGGTAGTGGTACGGCACAATCACTTAAGATTTTCAGACGAAAGCTTCTAAATTGCAGCACATTCACTTGCTATAACGTCTTTGTCTAGAAACGAAAATGTGATTTTAACCAGCGGTAGAGAATACTTTTATTACTCTCGAAATTTGCACCACATTGCACTCGAATGGTAACAAAGTAGCGCCGACCTGGAGCAGATAGTGTATTAGTGCCGATGATGGTCATGTTGCTGCTCCATCTGTCGATGGATAAGTCGTACCTATTAATTCCCGAGCTTGAGAGTTGAGAATGAACATGAACATAGTCTTCCAATATCTAAAACAAAGGCGTAGATGTGGGTTATTGTAGCCCCTCCGACACTTAAGTTAGAGAGAATTTATGCGTAAGACTATGAACTAAAAATTATGTAAAAGCTTACCTAAATATTATCAAATGCCTTATATTTATAGATGCGGGTAATATATTCCAAGTGGGATAAATCAATTGAGTATCCTTATCTGATTAACGAGTTGTGAAGTGCTTGTGAGTCTTTCCATACCTTGGAGTTGTGAGATAGGGTGTTTGGATAAGCACAAAATTCTAACGGTAGAGTCCTATTAAATTAGGAGACCTGATAGAAAGAAAATGAAAATGACAATGAAGGGCACAAGATGTCCAAAGGCTTCAAGCTCGAGCTCGAGCTCACTCGTACGAGCCCGATGATATTCATGACCTCGAGCTCGACCACATAAACTCGAGGATGTTCTGGCCCTAGGAGAGTGCTCGAGGTTATCATACCTCGACCATAATGTCATGGATGGTCTGGTCATACAAATATTGTACACATCATAGGCCCTCATGTATCCATGTCAAGAGCTCGTGCATAATGTGCGAGTTTCTAGAATGAGATGCACAAATATGTTGGATTCAAAAATAAGCATGCTTATGACAAGGAATATGCATGCTCGAGCCAAGGAATAGGCATGCTCATGCCTTGAAGTAGGTTCATGTCAAGGATTAGGCATGCTCATGTCTACAGGTAGGCATGCTCATGTCTACAAGTAGGCATGTTTATGTCAATAGGTAGGCATGCTCATACCAAATAGACTTGCTTGTGCCTAGAAATAGACATGTTCAAGCCAAGGATTAGACATTCTCATGCTAAGGAATAGACTTGCTCGTCCCTAGAAATAGACATGTTCAAGCCAAGGATTAGGCATTCTCATGCTAAGGAATATACATCTTCATGTTAAGGATTAGACATGTTCATACCGAGAGGTATGGATGCTCATGCCAAAAGAAAGGCATGCTTGTGCTTAAGAGGTGGGCGTGATTATGCCTAGAAATAGGCATGCTCATGCCAAGGATTAGGCGTCCTCATGCGGTAGGCATGCTCAAACCAAGGATTAGGCATACTCATACCAAGAGATAGGCTTGCTCATGCCAAGAGGTGGGCGCTCTCATGCCTAGAAATAAGCATGCTTAAGCTAAGGGTTATGTATCTCATGCCAAAGATTAGGCATGTTCATGCCAAGAGGTAGGCATACATGCCAAGGAATATGCATGCTCATGCCAAGGAATAGATGTGTTTATACCAAGAGGTAGGCATGCTCATACTTAGAGATCAACGTGATCATGCCAAGGATTAGGCACACTTGCTCGGACCAGGCTTGATGTGCTTGCTCAGAGCAAGGCTTTATGTGCTTGCACGTGGCAAGGGTTGAAGTGCTTGCTCGAGTTAAGGCTTGACGTGCTTGCACGGGGCAAGGCTTGACGTGCTTGCTTGAGGCAAGGCTTGAGTTACTTACACAAGACAAGGCTTGAAGTGCTTGCTCGGGGCAATACTTTTATGTGTTTGTGCGGGGCAAGGATTGATGTGCTTGCTCGGGACAAAGTTTGAGATGCTTGCGCGGGACAATGCTTTATGTACTTACACAGGGCAAGGCTTGAGGTGTTTGCTTGGGGTAAGGCTCTAGCAGCATTACAAATGGAAAAATTGACTTTATTGGGATAAGATCCGACGAATACTTAATTGAACGTGACTTGACCTAACTGTAAATTAAATATGGTCATGCAAGCCCGACCAATCAAATAATAAAAATAAGTGGGGTGTGAAAGCTTAAGAAAAACATGTAAGACCCTATTCTTCAAATGTATGGCATTGACCAACTAAACAATGACATTGATCGTGCCTACTGTTGGTCGATTACTGCCATTATTATGATCATTTCTCATACGCTTGTCTTGACTAACATAAGCTCTTAGGAAGCCCTCTTGATCAGATACTCGATCTCGCACTGCAAAACTTTGCATGTCTCTGTGGTATGCCCATGGTCACGATGAAAGTCACAATACTAGCTCTTATCACTAGTGTTAGGAGGGAATTGTATCCTCGAGGGCCATTTTAGTTCCTTGAGGTCCTTAATCTCCATCAAAAGTTGGACCTGGAGGTGTTCAGATGTGTGAATGACGTTGATGGTATGTCTGGTCTTTGCTTACCTTGAGCAAGGTCTTGTCGTGGATTTGACTTTTGTTGTCTCTTATGTTTGGCCTTTCAGTGGTCGGGCAGTCTTCCTTGGGTACATTGTTTCCTCCATATTTATGTATTTTTTTCTCGAGGTAAGAAGCTCGGTCACTAATTTTGGCGGGGTTTTTAACGACGATATCTTGAATGCTTCACATCTTATTGCATATATAAAGACGTGGACAACTGCTGTAATATGTAGGTCAGGTATTCGGAGCTTTTATGCATTAAATTGTTTCATGAAATCACGTAGGGATTCATTTTGCCATTGTCGAAGCTACATGAGGGATGCGGCGATCTTCCTAATGCGTTTATGTAAAAGTGTACCTCAATAATTATCCAAGACCTTGTATTTATAGAGATAGGTAGTTGCGAAACCCACAAGCGTACGTGATTGTTGACAAGTTATAGAATTGATGATTGAGAGTATCGTCCTACGGGAAATAAATTCAATTCAAGTTTACTAACTTTTTATGGAATTCGACTTATGTAAACAAAAAGAGAGTTTGATTTTATTTTAGGTTAAATTAATCTAAGAAAACGGTAAAAATGTGCCCGCGCTCACGCACGGGCATAACCACCACGCGCGCACCATTGAGCCAAATGGCTCTCGAATTGGGGAAAATAAGGTACCGCACGCGCACGTTCTCTTCAATTCGTCTCTGAGTAGCTTTCAGTAATTTGGTCATAAATTTCTCTACAAATATCCGATTGAGGTGATTCAAGATGTGTTAAAAATTTAATTCAAATGGATATAATTCTTCTAGAAATACTATTTTTCCAATTCGAACGTTTACTATCCGAAAAAATGTATCTTAAGTTGAGGCTAAGAATCCGGTGCATAACTTTTTCAGTTGGAAATCGATTTGTGAAAATGCTTCCACTATATTTCACTCATATGACCTCCAGATGCATCCAATTGATCATATATGATCTTCAATTGTCATTTTGTAGTCCAGATAAGATATTGGATATTTACACGTTGGTCCCCAAATTTTGAATTTCCTTCGTTTCCGCACATTTTTCGTTCATTTATTCAAAATCCACCAATTTGCATTGAGCTCGACCTAACAAACATAGTTAACACAAAATTAAGTTATAACGCATTCAAATCACTAACAAATACTCTAATTTAATGGCTTAGATAATTGTACAAAATACACTTATTAGTACTACACTCATAGTAGGATTAAGTGGTGTACTCCTAGTAGGATAAATCAATTAAGTAGCCTTATCTGATTAAAGAGATGTGAAATGTTTGGGAGTATTTCTATAATTAGGAGTTGTAATTTGATCGGAGTTGTGAGATATGGTGTTTAAATAAGTACAAAACTCAAGTGGTAAAATCCTATTAGATTAAGAGACCTGATAGAAAGAGAAAGAAAATGATAGTGAGGGACACGAGATGTCCAAGGACTTCAAGCCCGAACTCACTCATACGAGCCTAGTGATGGCCTCGAGCCCGACCGCATAAACTCGAGGATTTTCTGGCATTAGGAGAGTGCTCGAGGTTATCATAACCTTAATAACCTCGACCGCGTGTGGTCAGGCCATAAAAAAATTGTACACATTAGTAGCAAATGCAAAAATAGTTTTGTAAAGAACGCGCTGCTCCTGTTCTATGCTGCTCATGGAGTACTCTCGGAAAACCTCTGGCTACATTGGACAAGAACGATTAAATTTGCATTTTGGAAGTCGCCCCTTGTCTAGTGGTTATGAAAGACAGTTGAAATTTTTGAGGAATTCTTTCGATGCGAGTCATAAATTAAGAAGCAATTTCATTCTCAAAGGTTGATCTCTCAAAGAATTTGATATTCCAATTAACGTTTGATTTTGAAACAACGAATCCTCATTTTTACTGTAGATAAATCTAGTTTCTACTGTAAATAAACTATCTGAACGAGAGAAGAAGTTTGACAAACATACATGATTTCTAGTTATGTGATGAAACTATCATTCTTGAGCAGTACATCTAATGTTGGACAGAAAATCCAAATTGAAAACCACATAGGACATAAGAACTGAACCTCTCGAGATTAAAGGCTTTTGCTTCCAAAAGTCGGTGCCAACCTGGATACAAGTATACAACAGTGGAAAAGGAGAATCAAGTGAATCGAAAAGAACAAGCTGCAACTAGATAACATTAAAAAAAATACTCATAAAAGGGGGCTTCCACGACTATCAGTTCAGTTCCAATCACATTTCCAGAATGGTTTCCCGGGACAATGCATCGAATCAGTATGGCCATCGATCTTCAGTATTTGAGCATAGGACAATGCATGCTTTCCAACAGTTAAATATCTACAGACAGGAAAGTTATCTCCATCCTCCCAGAAACTAGCAAATTCCATGAAACTTTTGTCACAACTGACGCACTTTTAAGAGATGGGGTCGGAGACCATGAACACATCTACTACTCACTCACCACCCAATCTCCAAGGAAGATCCATCCTGGTGATAATTCAGGATCAGGCTTGTGCGACCACTGGAGAAAAAATGAGAAGGAAAAGCACACGTTAAAGAAATGCAAAAGATAACCTCAATTCATGCACACTACATCTAGAAGAAGGAGAAGAAGAAAAAGAGGACGAGGAGGAGGAGACCTGTTTGGTGGCCATTTTTTTGGAAAACGTTGTATTGAATAGTGAATTTAGGAGAATGTGTGGTTAAAAAGTAGGGAAAAGTTTTGGGTCTACATGTAGAATATTTGTGCGAATGTGTGGTTGAAAATGAGTAAGTAGAAAAAGAGTTCTAAAAGAATGGGAGACAAACAGGGGCTTAATTGCCTAGAAGAAAAGGGAATTCCAGAAATACTACGCTCAGGGAAAGAAAATCTGTCTCAGCAGCTCTTATTCAACTTTAGTGCTAGCAACAGATAATTTTTGACACTTACAATTATGCAGATAAATTTCCAAGATCTGTTACCTATTATTCCACAATTCAAAGTAGAAATACTTATGAGATTCCCGTATACTGTTCCTACTGCCATGAAGATTGCTTGTATCTGAAGCTCCCATTATCCCAACATCCTTCAGGCTCCTTCCTCTTCAAAATACCACCTGAAACCGAGAGCATCCTTGCTTGCCCCTCTGCTAGAGCTTGTGAACTGGCAACAGAAAGTTGCCCTGACGCCAGAGGCAACATCTCTTCTCTACCCTCCATATCAACGGCACCGGGGCCAGAATTAAGATCCAGACCTGGCCTGCCCCACTTTCTGTTGTTATCCAAACTACCATTACCACTACCGTCAGGAAGGCTAACCAGATAAGGCCTTGGAAATTGGGATGAGACTGCACCCACATTGCCTAGAAACTGTGAATTTACAGGAGCAGTAAATAGCCTTCCACCAGCTGAGGAATCTACATATGAGGTTGCTCCCACGGAGAATGTTGCAGACGATAAAGGAAAAGTAGTTCCAAAAGGAAACACGGGGTATTGGAAAGAGCTAGATGGGAAAGGGATCGCAGGAGATGATGACAAAACCGGTCCCCGATAAACATCAGGTGCAAATGGGGTACCACAAGTAGGAGAAAATATTCTTTGCGGTGCGCCAGGAGTTATGACGGGAAAGGGCTGGTCCACTCGGTCCGGGAACATTGACGGAATTGTCACAGTTGAGTATGTATTACCAGGGCAAGGGGGAAACCACGACGAGAAGCTGCCAAGTTCTAAATTATTCATTCTCAGGCCAGAAGTAGGAAGTTGAGAAAGCATACCACCCTTGCCCAGATGACTTGTAAACTGCTCAGCAGCATCATCAACTACAGGCCCATCATTTAGATCAAAATCCCTTCTAACATCCACTTTAAAATTGCTGCTTGAAGAGCAATGCCCCATTTCATCAGCTTCTTCAACTTTGTTCAAATCAAGATCAAGTGCTACAAAGCCACAAGCAGGCACAGCACCTATGCGTTCATTCCGTGTCATACCATGATTACTTATGAAATCAGATGCCGAATTGACAGCTGGATCAGAATCTCGAGAAGCCATGTCCTCGACAACTCTTTCATCTGGCACATTTAGATCGATATCCAACAGAGGGCGGACATCTCTACTAGTAGAAGCATTAGTAGAGGATACATCTGTCGACCCAAAAGGTATTTCAAAGGCTTTTCTGGGTTCAGCTGGTCGAAATGCACTAGTGGCGGCAGATCCCTTCCATCCAAGTTCACTTTTACTTCTCAATAGATCCTCTGGAGGTACAAAAGGCCCTTTTGCTGCAGCAGCCACTGTAATGGAAGCAGGAAGGACATTGGCCATGGAACTTACAGCAGAAAGTAATGGGTTAATCACATGAACACTGGTTGAATCAGGAGCTATACAGTTTACTGGCTCCCCATATTTTCCATCATCTGCTATCAAACCTTCATTTAAGTCAAATTTTATCTTTGTCTCAGGTTTTGAAGGTGCAGCAAAAGAAGATGAAGCACTTTCCTCAGTTTCAACTGATTCAACACCAGGGAGCTTGTATTCTTTCAACTCAGTATTATTCTGAGCTTCTTCGGAATAAATAGCAGGTGAATCTTTCTTAGGAGGTGATATACCAGATTGGTGTTCTGCAAATTCCTTGTTCTGTAAACTGGACTCTATATTTTGACTCTTCACGTCATCGACAATAGAACCTAAACATATCATGCCTTGACCTTCAACATTAGACCTGTCTGCTCCCATATCAAAGTTTTGTCTTTCAGGATCCTTTTCATCAACTGTTTCTACCTTGACTGTGTTGCCATTTTCTGAAATCAGTTTCTCATCAGACCCAGTACTTTGCAGCTTTTCATCATCTCTTCTTTCTGTCAAGACAAATGTTGCAATAACAGCAGGTAGTTCATGATCCGCATGTAAGCCAGTTCTCAACTCTTCCTTCACATCATTTTTGCAATCACCTTCACATGATCGATATGTTGATACAACTACAGCTGCTGGATTACCAGCACCTATTTTAGATATAGCATGGCAGACCATATCCTCCGATACCAAGTTCTTATTTACAGAAGGTTTACAGTCTAAAATGGCATTGCCATTAACAATACTTGAAACAACCTTTTCCTCAAGAGCTTGTTTATTTAATTCATCTCTCATCTTCTCCAACATGCCTGATGGCATCAAAGAAGCGGAACTCTTCATTTCACCAGACTTATCACTGATATCCCCCTGAGGATCTGCACTGGTTCTCAAATCCATAGAGGCTAAGTTGACAGGTTCAATGCATTCTGCGATCAGCAAATCTTCATTAGCGTGAGATGAAGAACATCTTCTTTCACCGGAGTGCTCAAGGGATGCATGTTTAGACATATGAAATCCATTTTCCGACAATGAAGTGCCAGCTATAGCCTGATTCTTGCTATCGCCATCAACTACATTACAACACGGACTTTGGTCTCCAGCTAGTTGATCGTCAGGAGATAACTTCGACTTTGCATCCTCGTGCGTGCAAATTTCATCAACTACATGGGTGCTTCTTTCTGGAGAATCAGTAGATGAGACCAAGTCAGATCTGGACATTTCTCCAGCAGCGACACTAGCAAGTAGATTCATTCCAATATCATCCTCAAGTGACACAGATGAATTTGCTTCAGAAGACTTTACACAGCTCTCAATCAAAGCATTGATAGGGGTGACAGATGCTTCACATGACTTCAAGTCATTTCTTTTCGAGGCTTCAATGATTTCCGTGGATACTTTAGTCCTACTTTGATCTTCACGAGGAAGAGCTGCACCTACAGGCGACCCAACAGCCTCATCAGAACCATTCGTCACATCCTTTGACTCGTTGCTTTGCCAAGATTCCATGTTCACGTCTGAAGTAAAATTTGATTGATGGACATCACTCTTTTCCTTCAGATTATCATAAATCCAATCATCCTTCTCTGAAGGCACTGGAGAAGAAGCTCGACTGCTCATAATGGAAAGATCTTCTGAAGATCCTATGTTGGCACTCTGTGCAGGAGCAGGGCTGCAGTTTGGTAACTTAACAATTAGTTTGTGACTGCTGCCCTCACTAGTGGGTGCCTCAAGAACTTTTTCACTATTGAATGAACACTGAGATGACTTCTCCAATGCAGTATTTCTGTGCAGTGAAGAGCTTCTGCTTGAACTTGTTTCTTTCAGACCTCCTGTAACAGGTGTCCCGGAAAAACCATTGATTGATTTCCGATGCCGACAACCACTGCCTGAGATTTTATTGGCATTAATCAACCCAGCAGAACCCTTTCCATCATCATTTACTAACGACAGATTGTAGCTATGAGATTGAACAGAACTGCTGCTCTTATCCTCCCTGGAAAGAGGCACGTCAGAAGCACTACCAACAGAAATGTTAGGCTGAATATCTTTGCCTGATGCAGGTGATGATGCTGACTTTACAGGGCCAGAAGATGAGGATGAGGACTTTGTGTTACTCTCTCCATGCAAAGACTTCACTGAAGAAGTTTTAGACCCAGAAAGCAGCATAATTGAGCTTTTCATGGCAACATCAGAACCATTTGAATTTTTACTCCCACCATGAGAAGCTTCAGGAAGGTGAGGTTTGGAAGACCATGAGGAAACATCTTGAGTTGAACCAGACTTCGCATCAATTTCAGCCTCAACACGCTTCTTCCATGTGTCTACTAAACTCCTTGCCTTTTTCTGAATTTCTAAATTTTTATGTGATCGTAAATTATTCACAGATCTGCCAATGTTGCACATTTGTAGGGCATGGAGATTCACTGGGAGCTTGTCAAGTGCACCAAGTAAAACCAAAAGAAATTCCTCCACGGATTTATCACCATCCTTGGAACTATTACCAACATTAATCTTCCCTTTATGGATGTCCTGGAGCCACTCATCCAACACTGGCAAACCCCTGAGCTGTACAAACCATTTAAGGCAATCAAATTTATCAGTGGAAGCCAACACACCCACAAGCAGAGAGCGGTTAGTCAAATCCATTTTCTTGTCCATTCTCTCAGGTTGCATAAGTTGAACAAACTTCTCAACAACCTCCAAATCCATGAGACCTCCTTTTCCCATTATTTTCACTATCTCGGATTTCAAACTATTTTCAGCTCTGTGAATACCAGAATCACCATCATCAGATTTTGAAGATTGTTCTCTTTTGATAGGCTCAGCACCCTGATCTGCTCTCTCCCTCTTCTTTCCCTTAACTGGAGGAGAAAAAGAAGTCACGCCAATTTGTCCATTATCAGGACCAGATTTTGATTGCAAGGTTGATGCTGAACAATTTATTGGTTTTGGAGATGGACCACCAGACTGCATAGTAGCGTGCATTTCTCTTCGTGTTTTATCTAAAAGCAGATCCACTTCTTCTTGCCGCTCCTACAAGAATAGAAAGCCTGACCAATCAACTATAGGAGAAATAGAGCGAAGCGTAACATCCATAAATAAAAGCAGGAAAAATAAAAGACAAACCATCTACAAACCCCTCCGCCTCTTTCCAAGCCTTTTTAGGTAAGCATACACAATAACAAACAAAAGAGCTATAAAGAGAATGTAGGCTGAGAGAATATGCAACTAACGTTAAGGTAATCTTGATCATTTAGCCACCAAAGGCAATTATTCTCAATGTCATAGACTCGCCGGCAAATAAATGAGGATGTCCCTGCAGCAAGTTCTACGCCCTTTGGAAGAAAAGAAACTTTGCAAGGATGGAGAAGCGATCCGGCAGGTATTTTATCCTTGTGAAAAGAATAAAAAATTTCATTTGGCACGGTGTCCAGCTGGATGCCTTTGCCAAGCTTCAGCTCAGCTGGCCGATAAAGCCAATTCACGCCTAACTGTAACTTTTTCTCCTTGCCCACTGCCAACCAGCGAATTATGCCAATGAAAGGTGGAGAATCTTGAGGTGGTTTGAAAAGAGCACAATCACCTATGCTAATTTTTCGACCGTCCTACAGAAAAGGAAACACAAGGCAAAGAATTCACTTCTCCCTGAAAGGATAGTATTAGAATAGTTATAAACATAAATAAGTAACAGTTTCATCACGACTGAATAAATAAAAATGTTCAGTGACCTAATAAGCACAAATATTGCAAATTATCAGTATAGTGCATCTACAAAAAGTGCCAGTAAAAACATTACCTATAATTGGTAACGGTTGCGGGTATACTAGCAAAGAAAGTGTTCTCACCCACTAGATGCCACTTTATAGATTGCTACATTTGAATTGCCTCGAGCATTTTCATGCAATGAAATGAAAATAGAGAAGTCCACACATTTCACACTCAAGTTGCAACAGAAGCACAGGTTCCTAAATTCATTTACATTGTAAGGGTCACTAAAAGGAAAAAAAAAAATTCACTCGGTACATTTTCCTCTACTCCTTTCTGACAAAAAACAACATTATCCGGATTTAATATAATGTTCCCAAACTTACCCAGTCTAATCTCACCTGGTCACTAAACTTTTTGTCCAGCTGCACTTTCATATTTGTTACAATTTTTTGACCATTTGTCTAGGTTTCTCATCTACTAGAATTGCCGACTTTTACGTAGGAAATGATTTGTGGCTTAAAAAGCCCATTAATTAATTAATTTAAAATCAAAAATCAAGATTAGAAAAAAGTTCATTCTTCTGAAAAAACTTACAAAGCACTATATTGAAGACAATAAGCATTTTTGGCAATCTACAAAAAAATATTGATGTATTGAAGGATTTTTTAAGTCACTTAATCATCTATAGCATGATAATCATCTCCGCCATGCAATCAGTTGCGTTACTTGCTTTAGACGAAGTTGCCTAAACTACAAATAAAAATGGTTCAATGACTAAAAAAAAGTTAGTGACCAAAGTTAAACAACACTATAAGTTCGCGACTAATATTGTTGTTAACACAGGTTAGCATCATCTACTAGGGGATTGATTTTGTATACATCGATCAAATCTAACTCATGCTTTTAAAGTTTGCCTCATCAAGACAAAATGGATTTCCTGCATACTAATGCCCCCAAAGATTGCATTCGTATTCTTTTTCACATAATGTCAACATCTCTTAAAGCAGTTCCATCATATCAGAAAGATGCTTACATTCGCAACTAACAACTATATTGAATAGTGAGTCGTCAATTAAGGCATGATTTAACATGCGCAATGCATCAGATCTAGGTAATCTATTAAGGATGCTTAAAGAATTAATAAATGAACTCCTTAAACAGAAGAGGTTGATTGATATGCAAGAGGATCGTGTTAACGTATCTAGATTATCAAAAAAAAAAGCTATTTTTTGGCATTCCGTATAGATTAGAAAGGAAAACAAAGAGAAAAAGGTGCAGAATTTGAGGTTAAAGCTTCCTATTCAAGAGAAATATATCCAAATATCTTTTTTATGAAAAAAACATTGACAAGAAGTCGACATAATTCCTGTACTTATAAGTTAAATGGTAGAGTGCAATTTCGGGAAAAGTAACTTCTGCACACAATCTGGTAACTTTGCATATTCCAGAACCTCAGTTTGCCCACTAGTTTTCTACACATCAAATTGGTAAGACAAGGCATATCTCAACAGAACGCTAATGGTGAAATAGTATACTATCTGCAGTATATAACAAAAAACATATCTTATTCACCACACAGAGAAGAGAATCGGTGGCATGTACTCAATATTTTAATACCTCCTTTGGAGTAAAGATTAAACTGAAATCGTCTAAATATTGGAAAAATAGATTAACTATACAGAAATAAAATGCACATTCCATGAACATTTTGTACAACAGTTGACACTGTCTTATAACTGAACGGCATTCGCATGAACCTGCCGCTGGAATTGGAATTGTTCATTCCCTACATTCTGAGAGATGCACTAACATAAATCTATACCTGTAAGAACTTCATTAAATAAATACAAAAGAAAAAATATAAGTGAAATGACAGATTTTCCCATTCCTTCAATATTTTAGCACAATGGATATTTTTATCCTTGTCGCAGAAGAAACAGTGAATAGTTTTTTTTTTTTTAAGTTTGCTTCTGCATGTATTAGCGCATTGCCAACATACGGATATTGGGTTCATATATTGTCTTCGCACTTGATCAGCGAGGAGTCAAATGACTCTCAGATCACCTTCCTTACCAATCACAGCATCGGTGTTCATCAATAGAAATGCTCAGGATGGAGAAACCAGACTGTTCCAACTAGGGACTGCATATAACACAATCAATTAAGCATCCCACATAGTAAAGTGGAAGTATTCTTTGATTTTGGTGTTTGTGTGGGAGGCAAGCGACCAGTAAAGGAAAGCAACATCTCGGGTGTGGGATTGTGGCTAAGTGTACTTCACTGAAGGTTTTTGACTTTTTAAGTTTTAACGCATTTTGGGAAGTGTTTATAATTTGTTTAAATTATAAATAGATAAAAACGAGTGGTAGATAAGTGAGAGTTACTCGTGAATTCTATGAAATGTGTTGATTTAACCACAAATGTTTATAAATTAAACATTCGTAAACAAGTCTAGATTGTAGTCTCTATGTGACTAGGATTTATTTTTAAGGTTCATATAAAAGCATGTCATTTAAGTCCAAAGTGGATTACTTGTTCAGCATTTCTCAGGGTTTTAACTTTTTTCTTTTTAGTATGTGATTATCAGTGTCATTCTTTAAGTCATTTAATGGATGCGGTTTGCTCCTCATCTTCTTCTTTCCCTGGTTGAGCCTTTTGTTTGGTATGGTAATTGATATTTTAGTTTCACTCCATATCTGTCTTATTCATATGGGGAGGTGGAAGTCAAGTGCCTGATCGATATGAAGTTTCCATCAGTCAGGTTGTATACATGGTAGATTCCACCTTACTGGGGATTCCAGTTATGAGCAGTTGTCTTATTATATGGCACTCAGTAAGAATTGATCATGTGCAAGGAATTGATCAAGTTTGTGCTTCTTCCTCTAGCACAAAAGGTGGCTTTGAATTTTCGGATTAGGTGGTGCCATGGTGGTACAGCTGGCTATGCTTTTGACTTTGGAATATAATGGTGGTAATGAATAGAAAAGTCACGTCTTTGTACCTTGTGCTAATTTAAGAATGTTGTAATAGTAGATAATTGAAGAGCGGATATGCTTAATGTCTATAATGAAGCTTTTGTTGCATACTTGAAAAACCAGTGGCGTATAAAATCCAAACAAGAAAAACATGGAAAACTTGTAAAATCCAATAAGAAAGTACCTTGTAAAATGAATCACTAGTAGTAAAGGTGGAGGTGGAGGTGGTGGTGGTAGAAGAAGTAACTGAAGAATGATCAATCCCAGCAGCTATAGTTCTGTTGCTCGTAGTCAAGGGTTGGACCGACCGCATGTGATGACTATAACTCCTCCTTAAGACTCCTACTGCTCTCGCCTTCCCGCTGAATCGTCCCATGCATAATAAAGATTGGTTTTTAGCATTTTCCCCGAAATCTCTCACCACCCAATACCCCAACTTCAAACTCAGTTGTCCACACACATACACAAAGAGAGAAAGCAGAGACCTTGGAAATCCTTCGATTTAGAAAGAGAAACCGAGAGAGATTTTGGGGTATAGAGACACAGCGCGATTTATTATAGAGAGAAGAAGGGATGTTGAGAGGGCTCCTCGGAGCGCAAAAGGGATAGGCTGTACTCTGTATTGATGGGCAGTCCGGGTAGCAGGTAATCTCAACTATCGAGCCACCCAGGATTCGGTAAGATTAGGGAGAATATAACCGGAAAATGGAGCAGCCCTTTTAAAAAGAATTTTTTGGAAATAATAAATTTTGAAGTAATAATTTTCTAAGAAGTATATAATTAAAAAGTAAAACAGTGACCAAATTCGATTATCTGATTCAACTTGGAATTTCTAAACTGAGCATTGGTTTCATCGATGTACCCCAAGGTGGTGGAACTAACTACGAAGTCCATCTTTTCGTTTTAGTTTCTTGTTTAATCCCAAGGTTGGAGAATTAGATTCCACATTGTACAACGGAAAAAAAAAAAAAAAAATATTCCAGGAGGTCTGCTTCAAACTTCAGATAGGAGATCAGAAAGTTTGTGTCGTCAACTTTGCTGGTAGTCTGTAAGTTTATCAAAAGTTTATAGTGGATCTTTGACTGACAAAGTGCCTGGAGTTTTTCCCGCGCTGGGTTTCTCCGTGAACAATTCTGGTGTTGTTTACTGTTGTTCTTACTGTTTTGATATTACTGCGATATTCAAAGATAGGGCTAATTGAATTGTTTGACTAATCTCCTAGACAAAATTAACTTGTGACTTGTTGCTTGTTGATTAAAGTTTTAATTCCTCATTTACACCTAATCACCCCCTCTAGGTGTAGTTGGGTTGAATCTTGCGTTTTTTCATCAATGATATACTTAAACCCACGAATTTCGCCTAATTCTGATACTATTTAACCATCTTCCTATAAAATTTAATTCTACCAGATAAAGGCCAAGCATATGTAAGGGTGTGTTTGAATCTAATTTTGAGGAGAATAGAAAGTTTGGAATAGTGATTGATGTGAGAATGTGTGGTGAAAAAGTGATGAAAAGTTTTTGATTTGTGTGTAATATTATTTTATTTGAAGAATGTATGGTTGAAATGAAGAATGAAAATGAAAATGAAAATGAGAATGAAAAATTAATGGGTGCCAAACGGGGGCTATATCAAACTTGACCCACATATAACAAAATAATAATAATAATAATAATAATTGTTCTAGTATTTTGTACCCTTCGAAGGGAGGGGAGGGATAAACTCACACACGTGGTCTGTGGAGGTGACTGCGGGCCCTATTTTGGGTTTTTACCTGACATCAAATTAAGGTTGTCTCCAGGATTTCCAACAATTCATAGGCTATGTACCAATTCTGCACATGAGATGCTATAAAAGATTGGCAAACAAAGTTGACTTTACATTTACCCATTTGAGGATCTCGGACCCTACCCCGCCCCCAGTATCTTTCGAGATCGTACACATAATTTTTGCAATTCCAATTTTTTCAATCTCGAGAAATAAGCATTAAGGCCCTGTTTAATAAGTCATATTTTTCAAGAAAAGTGGAAAATAAATTCTATTTTCCCACTTTTACCCTGTTTGATGGGTCAAATTTTACCTGAAAAATCTTTTCCCATTTTCCCCTCACGTGACCTATTTTCCCTGAAATCGTTGAAATACATTTCCCGTCTCAGAGTAGGTAAAACGTTTTCCACCATAATGAGGAAAATGGAACCTCAGAAAATCGAACCCAAAGCTTTCCCCAAACCTTCTCTCAACACCGGACGTCGTTTATCTCACGCAGCATCGATTGCTATTGTTTTCCAGTTGAACCCATCAGTTGTCTCTCACGGCGGACGGACCCTGCATTGCTTCCCCCGCCGTAGAAATGGGTAGGTTTCGTAGCATACTGTTATTTGTTCCGATTTTTTTTTTGGTTTTTTTGGTTTATGTTCAGCAATATCATCACGACTGCTTTGCTACTTCACCTTTTCGTTTACGGATTTAAGCCCTTGTCCGTGTTACATCTGCAATCTCGATTTCTAGGTTTGCTGGAACTGTACATTTCGAACTGTGCGTTGTCGCCAATGGTGTTTCGATTTACTTGTTATTTTTGGATTTTCTTCCACGCCATCAATGTATATTTTGACTTGCAAAAAATTGGATTATCTCTTTGAAAAATTGGGAATTCTGTAAATTAGCAAATGTATATTTTGTCAAAGTTGTGTCGTCTTTGATGAGATTGTTGATTCTTACAAATAAGAAGAAACCGGCATCTCTTTGAGTTGTTTCAATATCAGAGCCTATCTGTTGCTTCTTGGCTGCATCGGTATGTGTCCTTTCTCATTGAGTTTTCTGGTTTTTAATACAAAAACTGAACTGGTATGTTGGGCTATTTTGAATCTTTTACTTAATGTGATTTCTTGAATTGTTTGTTGCTTGATTCATGTGTCTATAATTTAAAATTTCATGTATTAATTGAAGTCTTAACTGCAGATTAATTAAAGTCTCAACCATTATAGAATAGATTGAATGTCATAGGGGAGAAGGGTGGGATAGATTAAATTAATCACTGGTTCATGACGTGTTTGGGATGAGGTTGAATAGATTGAATGTCAAAGGAGAGAGGTGGGATGAAGTCGTATCAATTGGATCATTCGGACCCATTTTGGATGGGAAATGGGTCATTAGAGTTTCCAGAAGTGGCTGTTGAAATTGAGATGCAGTGAAACAAGTATAAGAAAAATGTTGAGGAGGTAAATAAGTGAACTGGAGGAAATGCCAGGGCAGAGCTTAATCGATCAGATTTGATTGGCAACACAAAGTATCTAATGAGTGCAGTAAATTATTGGCCTGAATTGACTGAGCGGAAGCAATTGATTGATAAGCACACTGATATTGCTACTACGCAGACTGAGCTTCCTAGCATGCTCAGGGGGAAAGTGAAATGATGATCGGAGGTGGAATTGAGAAGACTGAGCTTCCTACCATACTTAGGGGGAAAGGAGATGAAATGGATAAACTGAGGTTCGCTATAATGTATCTCAGGGAGTCCGATGTTGATGCTAGTGCATTTCAGTATGTGAAGAAGTATAAAGTCAATAAATATCGCATTAGCATCAACAAATTCTTTCATGTATGTGGGTTGTATACTCTCAGACTCACAGTGAGTTCTGTTTGGTACACTCTGTGAGTCCTGTTTGGTGCACTCGTGGAAGGCCTCTGTATTTTACATGACTCAATCAAGCTCTGCAGCTGTCATGAGAAGCTTCTGGCATCAAGTGGATCTATTATCTACAGCAGCTTTATCAGTGCTGGAAACTGCAGCTCTCCAAGTTCAATTCTGCTAGGACGAGAACCATGACGAGGAAGTCGGGAAGAAAAAATGTAGTGTGAAATGTGGTCCTTGACTAAGTTGTCTTTATATGTAGTGTGTTTAATAATAATAAGATAATGTTGAGACTATTCAACATGTTATTTTCCTGAACTGTCCTCTATTACTCTATTATTCTTATTTCCTATTTGTGCCCGTTTAATACATTCTTGGTTGAATTTATGTTTGACACGGAATTTGTAGCTCTCCATTCTTGGTTGAATTTATGTTTGAACTGTCCTCTAGGATGCAGTGTTTTGTACATATTGGATGGATAGTTTTTGGTAGTCTCCCAGGAGCTGAATGTATTTTTTGAAAAACGATTCTTTTTGTTGATGGATTTTGTAATACAGATGATTTCTGTGTAATGGGAATATATCATGCAACTTTGAGGTGCCTATTCCCCCATAGGTATTAATTTGGGAAACTATGTGAGTTGTCGTTTCTTTTGTATTCTACATGAAGGTTCCAATATTGAAAAAAAAAAAAAAGAACATGGGTTGTCGTTTCATTTTTTCACATTATCTTTTTGTTCATAGTTTGTTGGACATTATAAATGGCTATCAAAAACCAATTATTGAAAAAAAAATTCATGGAAAACAAAGCCAATCAAACACCAAAAGATGAAAAATCTCAATATTTTTTAGGTGAAAAATTATACCAATCAAACGCAACTAACTGACAATTCCCGAAAAAAAATTTTTAGGCAAATATTTTCCCTGAAATTCATTTTCTTTCCAACCTTGCAATCAAACGCACCCTAAGATCAAATTCGGAAGAATAATGCTATGTGTACATCCAATCGTGTACACAACGCACTACACGTGTAATGCATTGTGTACACATAGCACAACCCAATTCGGAAAGATGCATAAAATCCATCTCTCATCTCATTGTCATTTTCTTCAATAAATTAACTAAGAATGGGCATCCTCACCGTTCATCAACCTGTATATTCCATGCTACTCCATATGGTACGATACAACTGACATAGGAGATGGCAATCTCGCGCTCGCCACCCATGTAGAATATGCTACCCAAAAACCACACTTCGCTAACGCTTAATTGTTTCATTTCCTGAAATGAGAAAATTAAGTTCCAATGACGCAGAAGCATTTCTTCCAGTCGCAACTATATACAAAATCAAGTCCACCATATACAATACTCTTCACGCCACAAAATACATAATAAACCCATCACTTGACCATCAGCATTCTTTTATTTCACATGCACCGCCTCGTTTCCTTTGTAAATAAACCTATCAGTAAAAGAGGACTTGGACAAGGAATTTACATGATCCCACCGTTATGTGAATCATTCTTGAGCAGAATGTACGTCGGCAGTACAGGTAATGTCAGACAGGGAAACCAAACTAAAATACTACAGGAGACATAAACTGAACCCATCGGAGGTTAAAAGCTTTTGATGCCAAAATTCAGAGTCAATCTGGATACAAGTATATAAAAGGTGAGTTGAAAAGAACAAGTTGCAATGAGAGAATTAAAATAAATACTCGACAACATGAGCTTCCACGTCAATCAGTTCAGTTCCAATCTCATTTCCTGAATGATAATGCGTCATATCAGTATGGGTATCAATCTTCAGTATCTGGTCATCAGAGAATTCATGCTTTCCAACGGTTAAAATATCTACAGACGGGAAAGTTATCTCCATCCTCCCAGAAATGACCAAAACTAGCAAACCCCATGAAACTTTTGTGTCATAACTGAAGCACTTGAGAGATGTGGGTCGGAGACTGGAAACATCTACTCACTTACCACCCATTCTCCAAGAGAGATCAAGCCTGGTAATGATTCATGATTTGTCTCGTCCAGCTACTGGAGAAAAAAAAAAGAGAAGTAAAAAGTTAGAGGAATGCAACCCGTCATGTATACACCAAAAGTAACTGTGCAATAATCTCTTTGCCAATGTTATTTAATAGCAAAGAAGGAAATGGAACAGTGTGTAAAATAAATTAAAAGAAACATTATGCTCGGGAAGGAAATCTAATAATTAAGCAGATAAATTTCCCTTGAACGTATCAATCGTTGGGTATTACTACCAAGAACTAAAACTACAGAATGAAGTTAGTTTCTTAAACATTTATTCCACAATGTGAAGTAAAAATACTAAAAAGGCTTGAAAAGCGCACCAGATTCCAGTATATAGTTCCTATTGCCATGAAGATTGCTTGTATCTGAAGCTCTCATAATCCCACCCTCCTTCAGGCTCCTTCCTTTTCAAAATACCACCTGGAACCGAGAGCATCTTTGCTTGTTCCTCTGCTAGCGCTTGTGAACTGGCAACGGAAAGTTGCCTCGATGCAAGAGGCAACATCTCTTCTCTACCTTCAATGTCTACTGCACCAGGGCCAGCATTGAGATCCAGACCCAGCCTGCCCCACTTTCTGTTGTTATCCAAGCCACCATTACTGGAACCGTCAGGAAGGCTAACCAGATAAGGTCTTGGAAATTGGGAGGAGACGGCACCAACATGGCCCAGAAACTGTGAATTTACAGGTGTAGTAAACAGCCTTCCACCAGATGAGGAATCTACATATGAGTTTGCTCCCACAGAGAAAGTGGAAGATGGTAAAGGAAAAGTAGTTCCAATGGGAAACATCGGGTATTGGAAAGGGCTAGATGGGAAAGGGATCGCAGGAGATGATGACAAAACCTGTCCTCGATAAAGATCAGGAGTAAATGGGGTACCACCAGTAGGAGCAAATAATCTTTGTGGTGCACCAGGAGGAATGACTGGAAATGGCTGGTCCCCTCGGTCCGGTAACGTTGACGGAATTGTCACAGTTGAGTATGTATTCCCAGGAGGAAACCAAGACAAGAAGTTGCCAAGTTCTGGGTTGTTCATTCTCAGGCCAGCATTAGGCAGTTGAGACAGCATTCCACCCTTGCCATGATGACTCGATGATAACTGTTCAGCACTAGCATCATCAGCTACAGGCCCATCATTTAGATCAAAATGCCTTCTAACATCACCAGTACGTAAACCACCTGATGAATCAACAGGCAAATCTGTACCCTCCACTTTAAACTTGTTGCTTGAAGAGCCATGCCCCATTTCATCAGCTTCGTCAACTCTGTTCAAATCAAGATCAAGTGCTAAAGAGCCATGAGACGGCGCAGCACCTAAGCACTCATTCAGCGTCATACCACGATTACTTATGAAATCAGAAGTAGAATTGACTGCTAAATCAGAATCTCGAGAAGCCATGTCCTCGAGAACTCTTTCATCTGGCACATTTAGATCGATATCCAACAAAGGGCGGACATGTCTACTAGTAGAAGCATCAGTATAGGATACATTTGTCGACCGCAAAGGCAATTCAAGGGCTTTTCTGGGTTCAGCTGGTCGAAATGCACTAGTGGCAGCAGATCCCTTCCATCCAAGTTCACTTTTACTTCTCAATAGTTCCTCTGGAGGAACAAAAGGCCCTTTTGCTGCTGCTGCCACAGTAATGGAAGCAGGAAGGCCATTGGAAACAGAATTTACAGCAGAAAGCAATGGGTTGATCACATGAACACTGGTTAAATCAGTAGATATAAAGTTGACTGGCTCCCCATATTTTCCATCATCTTCAATAAAACCTTCATTTAAGTCAAAATTAATCTTTGCATCAGGTTCTGGAGGTGTGGCAGCAGAAGAAGATGAAGCCTCTGTTCCAGAGGAAGAACATTTCTCAGTTACATTTGCTTCAACACCAAGAAGCTTGGATTCTATCAACTCAGTTTTTTTCTGTGCTTCTTCGGAAGAAATAGCAGGTGACTCTTTCTGAGGAGGGGGTATACCAGATTGGTGCTCAGGGAATTCCTCGTTCTCTATATTCACCCCTATATTTTGACTATTCATGTCATCCTTAGTAGAATCTAAACAGCTCATGCCTTGATCTTCAACATTAGACTTGTCTGCTCCCTTATCAAAGTTCTGTCTTTCAAAATGGATAACATAATTCACAGAATCCTTTTTGCCACCTTTTTCTTCATTGACATCATTATCGATTTGTGAAATTACTTTCTCAGACACAGTTCTTTGCAGCATTTCATTATCACATCTTTCTGTCAAGACAGATGACGCAGCAACTGCAGGTAGTTCTTGCTCCACAGGAAATCCAGCACTCAACTCTTCTTTCACATCATTTTTGCTGTCACCTACAACTTCAGCGGCTCGATTACCATCTTCTACATTAGAAAGACCGTGGCTGACCACGGCCTGGGATACCAAGTCATCATTTCCACAAGGTTTACTATCTAAAATGGTGTCAACATTTGCTTTACTTATCGGAACCTTTTCCTCAAGAGATTTCGTACTTAATTCACCATCTTTCATCTTCTCCATTGTTCCTGATGGCATCAAAGAAGAAGAACTCTTCATTTCACAAGACTCGCTGATATCACCTTGAGAATCTGCACTGGTTCTCAAATCCATACAAGCCAAGTTCACACGTTTATTGCTCTCTCCAGTCAGTGAATCTTCATTAACTTTAGATGAAGCACATCTTTCACCAGAGTACTCAAGGGTTGCATGTTTAGACACATGCAATTCATCTTCAGAAAACAAAGTGCCAGCTATAACCTGGTTCTTGCTATCGCCGTCATCAGAACACAAAATTTGGCCTCCAGCAATTCCATCTTCATGAGATGACTTTGATTTTCCATCGTCATGTGTGCAAACATCATCAGCTACAGGGGTGCTTCTTTCTGGAGAATCAGTTCTGGACATTTCTCCAGCAGCCACACTAGCAAGAAGATTCATTCCCATATCATCCTCAAGAGACACAGATGAATTTACTTCAGAATACTTGCAGCTCTCAATCAAAGCATTCATAGGGCTGAACGAGGCTTCACGCGACTTCAAGTCATTTCTTTTCAAGGCTTCAATAATTCTCCTGGACACTTCAGTGGTCCTACTTTGCTCTTGATGAGGAATAGCTACAGGTGACATAACAGCCTCATCAGAACCATTTATCACATCCT